TGTAAAGACTTTGCCAGCACCTCTGGCGCCCCAGCCCGATGGACAGGGCGGAGGTTCAGTCGCGGCTCCCCATTGGCTCCCGCGCGAGCCCCTCAACTTTCTATAAAGCTCGGCTGCAGAAGGCGCAGTCTGCACCGGCTCAGAGCGCTAGTGGCAGCGCCTGCTTCTGCTCTGCCTCCAGCGCCGGCCGGCCTTGGACAGACAGACTTACAGACTGATTGAAGACAACAGAAATTGAGTCAGAACGACACCAGACTGCGCTAAGAAGGAGTGGTGCTGGGTGGTGCCTGACGCTGTCCCCAGTTTGGAAAGGGCGCTGCCTGCATTCTCCAAGCTGTGAGCGTTTGGAGCCAGCAGTGTTCGCCCGCCCCGCGCTCAGCTACCCAGCTCAGCTCTGCGCACTTGTCCACTTGGAGCCGGTTCAGTCCTTCTTGCTGGTTCCAGCCGATTCTTCTCCCTCCCCACCTCAGACACCTTGGAGAACATCACCTCAGCTCAGAGCTCCAACGCACGGAGCAGAGCTTGCTCAGCTCTCCTTCCAGGGCGCTCCCTGACCCATTAGCTTAAGGACCTCACGGTCCTCCAAAGGCATCAAGCTGGACGCCCAGACCACAGAATCGCCCCAAGGGGCTTTCCCGAACCCTGGCACCATGAGCTATGCGGACGAGTTGACTCCGGAAGCTCTGAGCGTGCCCAGAGGCTTTGATGACCTGATAACCTCCACCACCTCCCAGGTGCTGCAGGCCATGTCCAATGCCGAGTCTGCGGTCGGCCGCGCCTGCAGCAAAGGTGTGCTCTCCATGATACCAGACCACATGCCAAACATGGGTGACCTGGCGGACACTTCGAGTCCCCTAGGTTCGGAAGTGGTGTCCCAAGACGAGGGGGTGCAGTTTTGGCTAGTGATAGGTTACACCATAGTGGTCTTTGCTGCCATCCTAGGCAACTGGGTCTTAAACCATGTAATTATGAAGTACAAGAGGGTGCACACCGCAACTGGCCTCTTCGTCGTCAACATTTCCGTCACCAACATGATGCTGGCTCTTCTCAGCTCTCCCTTCACTATGGTAAGCTGTGTGCTGAGGAGGGCATAGAGGAGCTGGGAAAAAAACTAAAATACAACTTTGCACTTGCAACAGAGAGCAGTTTGAGTGGAGGGAGGGAGCGCTGGAAAGGGTTGGTTTGGAGAATGTTTGTATAGAGACAGGAATGGCTGAGAGACATTCAAAGAGGTTTGGAAATTTTGAGTTTTGGTGTTGGGAGGCAATAAACTAAGACAAACAGGATTGTTGTTTCTGGGTTAATCTGCCTCATTGGCAGAGGCTGAAAGAAACTTAGGCTCCCCAGGGAGGCAGTGGAGACCTGTTGCAAATGAGTCTTGGGTTGACATGTGAATCTGAGTTTTTCAAAGATTCAGCTTCTGTTTCCCCACCCTCCATTACCTTCCATATGCACTGCTTGGACTTGAAAGTGGTTAACAGCTTTTGTGGTTTGGTGTATCCTCCCCTACCCAATGTCTTCTTGCTGGGCTGTTGTGTGTTCTGTGGGACCAGATGGGAAGAGCCTGAAACCATAGTGTGGAAATATTTCTTTGCTTCATGAGGCAATAATGCCAGCAGCTTGGAGAAGCAAGGAGGCTTTTACTTGTGTTTTTGGGCTTGTGAGAGGATAGACCCAGGGCTGAGTCCCTGTGCCTTACAGAACCTTTTCTTTCACAGGTTCGCTATCTGTGTAATTCCTTGGTGTTTGGGAAGATGACATGCCACTTCAGTCGCTTTGCCCAGTACTCTTGTGCCTATGTAACTGTGATGACCATGGCTGCTATTTCCCTGGATCGACATCGGGTATGTGCTTTTCAGGTCTTATAAAGGGATAAATTCTTCTCTTAGGTAGATAGAGACAGGTAAGATCACAAATAATCTAGAAAATTCTTTGAGTTTCTTGAGACAATATATGTGAATTTGTATGTCTAATTTGGGGGATTGCAAGATGGTGAAATAAATTTTGCATAATAAAAATGCTGCCATCTTTGATGTGGTGCTATGGAAATAGAGATGTGGCAATGGACAAATGACAGAGTGTTCTCTTTTACTTTTGGAAAACATTTCTTATTTGCTGCATTGCAGGACCAGCTAAGGGAAGAGGGAAGGTGTAAGTCAGAGGTGGGCGTGGCTTCAGGTCTGGTGGTTTGTTGAGTCTGGTAGGTGGGGGGGTGAAGTCTGTGAGGGAGGGTTGAGGTATTGAAGTGGGAGGGGGTGAAGAGACTTGAAGACAATGCTGAGGAAGTGGGGAAGGGAATGAGAACCTGGGAGAGGTTAAATGGTTAATCATTTAGGAGGGAGCTAGAAAATGGGCAAAGTGGAAGGAAACAAAGAGAGGGAGTGAGGATTTGTGGCTAGAGCCAGATGGGAGGCACCAAGAGAGGATCAAGGTGATAGGAGATGGGGGGAGATGGAAGGAGACATGAGGGGAAGGAAAAAGGAAGGAGTGACTATGGAAGGATCAAGGTCGGAGGGGATGAAAGGAAAAGAAAAAGGGAAAGGGCATGAAGAAGTATGTGGAGTACTTATCTTTCCATAAATGATAAAATAAAAATAAGTCACGGTTTTGAATTTCCATTCCTCTTCTCCATGGAACTCATTACTTTTTCTCAGCATTAGCCAGTGTTGCTCTTTCATCAAGCAGAACCCAAATCACAATTTCTCTCCCACTTACCAAGTCATTGCATTTTTGCACCAGAATGTAAGCAGATGAAGGGTTAATAAGTAATCCTAATTTGACTTGTTGAATTGGGCTGGGGTCCTTTTTGTTTCAGGTCATGCTATATCCCCTGAAGTCCCGGATTACTCCCATGCAAGGCAATGTTTGCATCATCATCATCTGGATTGTGAGCACCTGTGCTGCTCTGCCACATGCCATTTACCAGAAGCTTTACCAAGTGGAGATTGGGTAAGAGAAGCACAGGATGGTCACTGTTGAGTTTCTAGCAACCCATGAGTTTGAATGCCATGGAATAATTTACCAAGTAGAGACTTGAATGGTACATTTCGAAGCATGGGTACAAAAATACATTTTTTTAAACTGTGATTGTCATAAGAGTTCCCAATAACTTGCATGGCTGTAGGTTGTTAGACATATCTTTTCTTGGTTTTGGCCATGATTTTCCTATATGACACACGAGAAGTCTGGATCAGGTGAATCCCAGATCTCCCTACTTTATAACTCTAGGCTTTAGGCTGAATATGGACACAAACAGTAAATATATTTCTCCCTTAAGGCCTGTCATATAACGTTTGCTAAGGACCTTAAGGAAAAGGAAAATGAAGTTGATGTTTTTCTTTTTCTGTCTTGTAACCTTAGAAACATAACTGAGGAAACTGCCTGCCTCCCCAGTTTCCCATATACTTCAGAATCCACGTGGAAATACCTTGACCTGAGTACCTTTTTGCTCTTCTTCATCTTGCCATTGATGGTGCTAGTGGTTGTTTATGGTCATGTGGCCAAGAAGCTGTGGATCCATAATGCTATTGATGACATCAACATCCACACTTATATCTGCCAGCGAGGGAAGAAGAAGCAGACCTTGAAGATGCTGATGACAGTGGTGCTTGTTTACACAATCAGCTGGCTCCCCCTCAACCTCTACCTGATGCTGCTCTCTAGCGAATCCATCTCAAGCCATAATGGTCTCTACTTTTTCCTCCACTGGCTGGCAATCAGCAGCTCCTGCTACAACCCTTACATCTATTGCTGGCTCAGTGATAGCTTCCGAATTGAAGTTCAGAAGGTTATCATGGAAATCCAGAAAATGCTGATAGATGGGATCAGCCGCCTGAGAGGGGAGCACTGCCTGCTGAGTTCTGTATCACCCACACAACGCCCTGCCTGGGTGGATCCCAATCCTGGAGTGCCCAAATTCCCACGATTCAAAGATTTTGATGAGCTACCCAGTTCTCCTCCCTCCTCAGCGGTGGAAATTTCCTTTCTCTATCCATCAGTGTCTAGAGTTTAAGCTGCCCAGACCGCGATAGGTTATCCATCCTCAAAATTCCTGAGATAGGATGGGACCAAATTACTAGGATTCATTAATTTTTCATGTGTGTGTGTGTGTGTGTGTGTGTGTGTGTGTATGTGTGTGTTTGTGTGTGTGTATGTAGGAAAGGAGTCAGTACTTGAGGGGTGGGGGCCATGTGAACCACCATATATCTCACTCATTCATTTGTTCTCTCTGCCTTTTTTCCTATTCCCCATCTTTTTTCTCCTCATCTTAATCGTTATCTTCTTAACAATGATATATTATTCGGTGTCTACTCTGATATCCTCTGTAGAGGAGTGAGCTAGTCTCTGGAAGCATGATGCAGATGGAGTTTAGTTTCTGTTTACTCTGATCCAAGTTGGTGACAGGACAGAGTGGGTTTTTTTAATTCAAACCTCAAATATCACTGGTAAATTTCCACACTTGCTACAGCATTATCTCTTTTAGATCAAGAAGAAACTGTGAGGAACGAGCTAATTGTAGTTTAAACTGTGTTTCTTTCCATTTTCACTTTCATGTATTAATTCTGTGTCTTCTCTATCCTTCCCATTCTCAACACCCCAACTAAAAATATCACTGAATTTTCATCACTCAAGTACAAGACTAACCATTGTAATCTGAAAATCCACCTATAGTCTCCTTTTGGCTTCAGCTGCTTTTGAGATTAGTAGTGTTTGTGATTGATGAACTCTGCTGGTATCTTTTCCTCCCTCCTATGTCAATTTTTCTCATTCTCCTAAGGACAGAGATATTTCTTTCATTTCCTTCACCTTTTGGTAGGATAGATACATCCCAGGACAATGGGCTATTAAGGTTATGCCTCTCCATTAGAAGAAGGCAGAGTGGAATTGCCTCTGGGTACCCAGTGCTTCTTGGAGAAATCGTACCTTGCTCTGATATCCTCCTTCTCCTGCTTAGACTTAGGAGAAATTTGGATAAAAGGGCTATCATTGTAATTTAAGTGATTATTGTGCTATTGTATTTTCACCTATTCTCTCATTCCCAGGAAAACCTCTCCCTACTCCTATTCCTACTCTCTACAAGGAATCAGACCTTTTTTCACACTCAGTAAAGATGGGAATCTCAAACGTTCCATGCTTGATAGATAATCCAGCTTCAACATTTGCTGCTGACTTGGCTGGAAACTCCACACTCACAGAACTTTGTCTGCCCAAAAGCTTTGGTGATGTATGGGATGTTTTAAGAATTGAGCATCACGTGGGGTGTTGGTTAGTGTTTTTTTCAGCAGCAACTAATCTGAATTCAGCACCCAGCCAAGTCTGAGGGTGCTACCATTGTAAGTAGTTTCTGACTGGGGGGCTCATTTGGTTGGAACATGGTGCTAATGAGCTCTAGGTCCTAGGCACTAACCCATGTGTGGCCATTTAGCTCTGTGGGTTTGAGCATGGTGCTAAAGAACTATGGTCACATGGTTTCAAAACCCCATGCATGTCCATTTACAAAGACTGCACCACTCACCCTAGCCAGCGTTTTCCTGAACAAGGGTTATCAGCTAACTGGAGGACCCAGCAAATGTATGTTGTATAAATATTCCTACAAAACCCATTTTTGCTTCTGGAGAAGCAGCTTATGGTGTACTCCTTGCTGACTGTGTGTTAAAGTGTCCCCTTCTTATTAAAAAGACATCATTTTTCAATGGATATTTGAACAAAGTGAGAGGAACAGCAATGGCAGACTGGAGAAGTTGCCAGATCCTCTTCTTTTTACAAATCCAAATGCACGTAACCAACACATGTCAAATGCCAAGAAACTGTATCTTGATCCAGAGTAGGACATTTGGAGAAATGCTTTGATGAGAGTAAATCTACATGTAGCTGGTCCATTGTCCAACCTTAACGTGACAAGTTGGAGTGGAGGAATTCATCCACTGACATAGATATTTGAGATGCTGCTAATCAACCTTGTGTTGGTCATCTGTGTATATGGTATGTAAATTCTTTCCTAGGTGTTTTGAGCTGAAAGCTATCTTCACTGAAAATTACCTCCTTTCCTATAAAGTATCTTTTTATGTTATCAAACATAATCCCACAGACACACGTGCACACACATATATACAAACACACATATACACATGAACACACATATCTGTATACAGCACCATGTTTGAACATACATAGGCACTCACACACATATCCGGACATATGCAAACATGCACATATGCGAAAAATGCATACACTCAGATTTTCTGAGGTTGGATATATTTGTTTTTCCATGAGCCAAATTAATAGGTAGTTTTGCACCAGGAGGGGGACATGTCTTAATGCTGATAGTAAGTTCTACCCAGAATTATAGTTATACATTTGGATCATCCACATACTACTGTCATTGCTGAAGACTGTCAACATATCTAGACTGTAAGGCAAAGTTTCATTGATGGACACTATATTGTCCTCTGGGCCACAGGAGGAAGGACAGAAGATGGACCCAGTATGGATAGTATGAGAGTGAGAATGAAGTCGCTTATTCTGATAACACTTTTTCACGGGCTTTTATGTGTCTATTTCAAATTCCTTTCCCTTGAAATGGTAATAGAAATAAGCTATATGTGGTGATGACTCTATTTCCCAAAGTGAGATCTTTTGGTGTTTTCCAATAAGGGTTTGTTAATATTTTATCCCATATTGAAAAACTGAAGACTGTTGGGGGGTCTGGATAAGAAAGTCTAGTGTAAAAAAATCCTTAATAGAATAAATTTAACTGAAAAAAAACAAAAATAAAGAAAATAAATTACCCCTTAGATTTTATAAGGTAGTTAAATTTATTTCCTAACTCAACTCCTGCCTGAACAGTGTCCCCTGCTTCCCCACCATGTGATGGAACTGTACTTGTACTTGATACCCTAATGACTTTCAGCTTTTACCACTGCTCTGTCCTTGCTCACGAACTCTGTGGAATTTTGGAAAATAGCCTAGACATATGTGCATAAGCACATCACACACTAGCTACTTGGTTCAAACCTTGTGGTGATGTGGACTGGGTAGAATAGAAGACTCCCAGGGAAAAAGGCTATAAGACTGCCAAATTCTCTATATGCAAGCTGCAGTTGCTGGGCTTAAATGGCAGAGGAAATAAAGCTCCCTGTGGAGATACTGATGAATTATAATGGGACATCTTGACAAAGGAGAATGAGAGAAGTCTCACCGTGTTACAACAAGAGAATGGACATTATTTGGGGCTCCCAGCAAGGATGTGTGTGTTACTTATTTACTTGTTATGGTTGCTTTAAATGTTCTCTACTAATGTCCCTATTCCTCTGTACCCTAATTTAATGTTTGATTGTGGATTTTGGATTGGGGAGGAGAGGAATCACAAGTTAGGGGATAGAGTGGGGGTGGGGATATTGGAAGTAGGAATAGATTAGGATATATATGTATTCACATACACATATACTAAATAAAAAATACTCGTTCAAAGCACATATAGGTTCTTCTGAGTGTATCTGGTTGGAGAAGGGTCAGAGTGGTGATGTAGCTTATTCAGTGGATATTTCTGCTTCAGAGTGTCTGTCATAAGTTACAAACTTCTCTTGTGCTCCACATGTGGTCATTGAGGTGGAAGTTGATGGGATGGGGGTATAATATAAAAGCAAATCCCATGATCTCTGCCTTGGAAAAACTTCTGTGTGAGCAAAGGAGATAGTTTGCCCAAGAACATACTGGGGACTCGTCTTCCCATTCAGTGGGAAGGAATGAGAAGAGGACCAGAGTCCCACAATGGGTCTTCAAGTCTAGAATACCCTAAACAGGGAAGATACCTCATTCAATGAAACCAAATCCATGAAAGTGGTTAAAAATATTTTTAAAAAGGGAGGGGGACAGGGAGGGAGAAATAATAATAGAGGTTGTGAATTTGATCAAAGTACATTATATACATATATGGAAATATCATGATGAAACTTCTTTGTACAATTAATATTTGCTGATTTAAAAAATCCAGAACTCTCAATGTTTAGCCTTAGAAGGAGAATTTCTAAAAGGAGTAGTTAATTTAGCAACCTTGACAATGACAGTCTGAATTTATCATACCTCTAGATGTTTTTTCCTTCATTTACTACTGCAGCCCCATCATGCTGGCCCTCAAAAGTGTTCACTGACCCTTTAATACTTTATAGTCTTTTGGAAAGCTTTGGCCTTTCTCAGATGTGTAGAAGAATAATTTGGGAATAAACTTATTTGATCCAAAATGCATAAACACAGGTTAACAAAGTCCAAAAACTCAGGTCTTATATTTTGTAGTCTCTATCCCACCTCATACTCAGGACTACCCATTCTGGTTTTTTCTTTTTCTTTTTTCCTGTGTAATATTTGAGGTGGCTACCACCGAAACCAAAACTGGTTCTACTTAAGTAACCTTATGTGGGTTCCCTATTTCCTAGCCTCTGGCTTGTTTGATTTGATGACCTATGTTCTCAGACATGTTCTCTCATGTCTGCCATGTTGGGCATATATAGAAAATAAGAATCTACTTCTGACTCTTATTCAGCATCACAATGCTAACATTGGAACTGCAGTCCTATTCTTTGGGAAGGCAAAGCACACATAGACATACATACATACATACACACACACACACACACACACACACACAGAGAGAGAGAGAGAGAGAGAGAGAGAGAGACAGATAGACTATAAGGAATTGGCTCACATGATTGTAATAATAAGTCTAGAGTGTACCATCTGCAAATTGGACACCCAGGAAAATAAAGTTGATGATATAGGTCTGATTCAGTCCAAATCTGGAGGCCTGAGAACCAGGAAAACCAGTGATGTAAATTCCAGTCCAAGTAAAGGAGAAGATTGATATCCCAGCTGGAAAAGAGATAGAGGGAGCAAATTCTCCCTTACCTCTTCTTTTGCTTTAGTTAAGCCTCCAACTGGTTGATGAGACTCATACACATTGAGGCTTTACTTGATCTACTGAGTTAAATGTTAATCATATCCAGAAACACTCGTACA